CGAGACAGCCCGGTTATTCAATATTTAACTCTGTGCAACACAGTCTGACCTTGGGCTGCGCGGTAAGCGTTTCTCATTTTAGGAAAAACAAATATAACGTTCAGTTAGCATTTTCAAAGGGTTGCCAAAGACTGTGATAAAGGAAAGAAAAAGGCGTCCGAGTAGAGTCAGGCTGGAGAGGTAATTGCAATTTAAAAAGGGAGGGTCTGGGCCACCTGCGCAGGTGTAGGTCTGCCCACTTGACCTCAGGTGAGATCCCCCACTGCTGACACGGCTGTGGCTTTAGCCAACCCCAAAGACAGGAGCACAGCAATGGTTAGGGACTGTTAGTCAAGAACCGCAGCTGCTTAACGAAAACCACAGAAAAATACACCATACACTTTATGCAGTTAAGGGGAAAAAAGAGTTCATTTGAGAAAACAAACGCAGACATTCTTTGTTGCATAAATCTTTCCAAAGCTGAAACCTCGGGATACTGCAACCACCCAGGCGAAACCCAACTGTTAGAAGAGTTTTGACTGCTAAGAAAGTGCTCAACTTGATCTTCTGCAAGAACTTGTCTGGGCATTTCCCTGGATTTCCTGAAATACCAGAAACAATACTGTAATAACAAGTTTCCTTTGAAGGGCAAAAAAGAAAGCTGGACGCACCCTTTCAAGCAAGACGTTTATCACAATACATAATAAGGAAAGACTGGTTCGATGAATCCCCTCAGGTCATAATGACAGGTAGGAGACATCCGAAGGCACTCAGTTCTCCGGCACACCCGCGCACACACATGTGCACACACACACGTGTGTGCACACACACATGTACACACTCTCTCAGCAGCTGTCAGACACATGAGTAAATGCACAATTTCTCTAACAACCCTTAGTGACTGGGTGTGGGGAGGAGAAAGCATTTTCAGTAATTTCTCTCTCTATTTCATGCTAGTTACCGGCTGTAAATTATGCAAGAAGTTAACTGCAGTACCTCTCCAAATTATTACTAGTCACTCAGCAGATCTGACATCCACCCCAGAGGAACACATCAACCTCCTACTGACTGCAAGGGAACGGAGAGGTAAGCAGGCACTTATCTCTTCTTTAATCTCTCTCTCCAGTCAAGGCTGATGATCATCTCACAAAATTAAGGGAAAAAATACTAAGCCACTAGTTGGGGAAAGAGAGGGAAAAAAGCAAGAAAAAAGGGTCAAAAGAGGTACAGAAATCTGATGAAGACATGAAAAGAAGCTGACTAGAAGTGGTTCCTGTTGAACTTTTCAAACATTTATGTTGCACCTTCATAAGTAGTACAAATTTTGTTCTTGAGAACGACACACCGCACATGGTTAATCTTATTTTCACATATCCCTTTAACTAATTAAAAAATCAGAAGCGCTTATTCAGAGCTTAGTATTTTTAAAATGCTCAGATAATGCAATTAACTGGAGAAGAAAAGCACTGCAGTAGAGGTTGCACCTTGTCTACACTGTGAAATCACCCTTCATATTAATTTTTATTCTAGATTCGTTTTTTGAGACAAAAAGACCCCATATTTTCATCCAGTGCAAAGCTATGCCTTTGAAAGAGAACATAACCATCTATTTATTTCTCCTAGAGACAACACGTGCGAATCTGTGCTAATATTTAAAAGTTTGTCAGACAAAGGTGACTCAGTTTCACCAAACCTGGTGTGAGACTACCTTTCCCGACTGGTGATTAATATTTTCACATCTAAGTCTGGATCCAAAGCTAACAGTTTGAAAGAAAAGGCTTGCTACAGGTTCTTTCCTCCAGTGAACACTGAAGAAAATAGCCTGCAAAGTAATGACCCAGAGATAGTGTTCAGCCACTTTCTCTCTCCAGTTCTAGAGCTTCGTTAAGATTATTTAATGACCATCTTTTGATTGCAATATTGGAGAAACCTAAATGCAATGGCTGCCTTCACAGGTCCATCAAAGCTGAGCAGTATCAAGAGCGAGAAGAACTGTGGTGTCACGTTTGTGTCCCAGTTGAGCAGGGAGGCTCCAGGAGATCGGCATACGCAACAACGCTACGGGCTCTTCTAGGAATTAGATTCGTAGTACTCCTCTATCAGTCTACAGAATTTGAGGAATGCCCTGAACTTAAAGAAAACTTGCATGTAAGTGGTTTTATCTGTAGTCACTGACTTAGAAAAGTGAAGAAATCAATACTATGGCTAACATGAATCAATTAATCCATTCACTTGCATATTACATCTTCCTCTTACTGCGTGGAACATAAATACCCCAAACATGAATTGAATTACTCCTTGCTCTCTTGCATGAAACCCAGCAGAAGGTTATAATGATGAATGAATCACAGTTAAATGTAAGGACAATGTGTGGGAGAAATCTGAAAGGGAAACAATTCTTTGTCACCTGAAGACTTGTTTACACTACTTTTATATTTACGCGCATAATCTGGTGTTTTGCCTCTGACCAGTTTTCCAAGCTTCAGATGATACACTCCTCAAGAGACGTTTGTACGCATACTGACAGTCACTCTGTTGACTTCTGCAGAGTTGAAGAGACCAGCATGGTATTTAAAACATACTTCCCTTTGGACCTCATTGTCTTATAATTGCCAACCTCTTCAATAAAGACCGAAGGCTGCTCGGCTAATTTGAAACATGAGTAATATTCACACTGCCAGCCTTCATACTTAGCTTTTTAGGTTTTCCTTTTTAAACTCAGGTCAAATACAGAAAACATGCAAAGATCAGTTTTTAATTGCCCAGATGTTTTCAGTGGCTGCGAAATCTTTTCAACTCTGTGTCATCCTCTGAAAGAATTTCGGTGGCCAAGGTCAGTATCTTCTTGGCCAAAGGGAAGATGTCAACCTGCCTGTAGATGTTCGTGGAGAGGGGAGGGTTGCGAAGAGGAGATCTGGGCTCAGAAACGACTTCCTAAAAGGAGACTTCACAGACCGAATGGACTTAGCAGGGCTTACTCACAGAGCTTCTTTTGCTTACGTAAATGCATTTTAAAACGCAGAGCTACGGCAAAACTATTGAAACAATGGACTTAGAGAAGCTCTATTCTCGTCTGTGAATTCTTTTGTCTTTTAAAACACAAGCGATAGAATGCATTTATGCATGTAGCACTATTTCCAGGCTGTTGTTCTGCCCAGATTTACCTGAGTGTAGAGCAGAGCTTCTGTAGGTATGCTGGTGGGGAAGTCTACAGCGAGCTACAAAACCCATTACAGATGGTATGGCTGCCTAAGCCATAAAACCTGGTTAATCAGGTATGAGCAAAATCTGCTAACTGTGCAATTCGTTACTGAGAATGCAAATTATAGTCCATATGCGTCAGGCGTTACCAATCAGGTCTGAAAATGGGCGTGGGAATACTTTAAAGAAATTCATTGTATGGATTTGATTGCATAACACGCAGGAATTCCGTGTTTGCAGGTGGAGTAACTGCAGGACTGAACTACGGGAAGATGTCTTCAGGCTGATGTGTAAGGAGCCAGAATTTCAAACAACATCCAAGCTTCATTTGTCACTTCAGAAAACAACATATCTATTTATCCTTGTTTCCTAGAAAAGCTTTTGATTAGAAATGTCAAGATAGCATCAATAAAAATTATTCAAAGATAGGATAGTGCAATACTAAACACCTCTCTCTTACTGCCAAGTACAGACAGACTGCTTCAGGTGATTGCAACTCATTACTTACAGTTCTGAAATGAAGTAACCAACAGAAAAAAAACCCAGCACACACGAACAGAGATGTTCCTTATGCCTCAAATCAAGCTGTATGCCAGGCTTAGATACCAACATGCCACTGCCCACTCTTAGCGAAGGCTGTTTCAAAACGCAATACCTCCCTCACGAGAACAATAATTACCTTTACCTCCGTTTGCAAGCAAGGCTTGAATACCTCACTTGATCTTATCTTACCAGATGAGCGATAGGCCTATCCTGCTCATGAATGAAAGGCAATCATCCCTCCTTACTACTAAGATATCTTATGAGTCCTCATCTTAGGAGGACCACACACTTTACTGAGCCCAGCGATGAGCTGGGTGAGCTGGAAACCCTGCGGAGGCTCTGCGCAGCTCATCTCTTCGTCGTCCTTTCCCATTGAATCCATTCTGCTCGTTAAGTCCCGTACAGCACATTCAGCCTCAGCTGACGGAAGGGCAGCAGGCAAAATTTTATGAAGTGTCAATTCATGAGCTTGTTCCTGCATTGTGGAACTCCTTGCAGCCCTGGATTTAAACTGGCCTTCTGAAAAAGGGCACACTGACTTGAAAACCAGTTTGGTTCTTCTAGAAAGAGCAGATCAAAAATTTCAGCAACAACTGGTTGGGAAAACTGATTTCAGGAAAGCCTCGGGTTCTCCCTGGGGAGGATCCTGTTGTCGTTACGATTGTTTTAAGCGCACGGCTATAGCAGATTACTCATTTACCTTCCTGTGCAAGTCTCCTACAGGAGTGCAGGCTGGCTGCACGTGTTTAATATCTGCGAGTATTAAAGCCTGTACATTAGCAAAGGTTATCAGTGACTAACAGCTAGCAATAGTAAAGGTTATCTCCTCTCTGAGCCCTGAACCGCCTAGGCAGGAGAGACAGGCAGGATCGTTGGCTCCAGTTTCTCACCTTGTCTCTGTCTAGTTTGTGAGCTAACTCTTCCCCTACCCAAGAAGGGTACAGGGCTGATGTAGTTCAGGTACTTGCTGTAGCAAAGCCATAGTAGTACATCTCCGCGGGTCTGAGGGCAGAGCCCTCAGGGTGGACGGGCCAGAGCCGGGCACAAGCCCCCGAGGCCCCGGCAACCCCTCCGCCCCCCAGCGTGGCAGCACCCCCAGCCTTGGCAGAGCACCCACGGGGTGCGGGGCAACGGGCTCCAATGCCAAGAACAACACACTTGAGTATGGAAAGGAGGAGGAAAGGACAAAGGCTGACATTTCTTGCATTTTGCTGAACTGGCTTTTACTCGTATTTTTACCGGTTCATGCACCGCCCACTGCCTTATCTTTTACATACCATGCAATGTTGAAGAGCTCTGGATGGTAAGGTAGCTGGATTCGCATTTCTGTGATTCAATATCCAGGTCTCCAATTTTTAAGATCAGGCGTTTTCCCGGAGGCACTTGGATTTTCTTTTCACAAAGAGTGTAGTTTGGGTATGTCCCAGGATAGTTCTTGGATGCCAGGGTCCCGCTGTCTTGGTACATCACTGTGTGCCCACATCCATCCCCTGCAGTAGGAGAAGAAACAAGGAAGAGAAACAAAAGCTATTCCTCAATAAAAAATGTGTAAGAAAACATTGGCCGCATAATCATCTCACGTGTGCTTCCACCTTTTTTAAAAGTGTTTTGTTATACTCCACCTCAGTTACGCTGTTCTAAGAGCACAGGTAACAAAAATACAGTCACATTTCTCTTGCAAAGCAGTAGAAAGGAGGGTTGGAAACACTCATGAACTAAGATGTATTTGGCAGTCCTGAGTACAAACAGTCTCTCTGGCTTTCTGTTTTACAGCCAAACCCTACTGAAACCCTGAAGATGCAATTCCACGTGTAATAGGTAGGATTCTTCCTTACATAGTTTTCTCCCAATTGTCGCTCCGCATTTTATTTCCATAGGAAGAGCCGTCAGAGAGAGGGTAACTGAGTCGTACATGAAAGCACAGACAGGATTTCACTACGTACTATCATGGACCTGACTCGTTTTACTTTCCCGTTGGTTTTCTTGTGCCACTCGCACAACACAAAGAGCACAGGGGACAAGGCAAAGACACAAGAGGGCTTCAAAAGTGGGATGTGCATCGTCAACGCTACGTTGGCTACTTCACAGTCGCACGCCCGGAGATGTGAGTGCCGCCGCTGCCTCCTTGCTCACGGGGTGAGGGTAGGTGCCCTCCAAGTGTGGCTTTGTGGCACTTGGCTTTGGAGCCTTCCCTTGGTGGAGAGGCATCGGAGGAGCAGCGGCGGCAGAACGTCTGACAACAGGAAAAGGCGGATGGAGATACCTGGGGGTGTGGGGACTGACATGGAAAATAGAAGCCCCCATGGAGGGGAAGGAAGCAGGGATCAGATGAGAGACCTTGGCCGCTGAAGGAGGCAATTTTTACTGAATTATTTGAAAGTGTGCTCATAAGGTAAAATGTATGTATTACGGCTTAAGCCATTTCATTCTGCTGAATCTTCCAAATAACGGAAAGTATTGCGACAGTGGAACTAGTGCCATAGGTATGGGCATGCAACGGGCAGTCCGCAGATTCAGGTCAGCTGGGGCATAGGCACTCTTTGCATAGGAGTCTTGTGGACTCTTGCCCTTTATCGCTGCAAAACCGAAGCCAGTCCTAGAAGTGTTCATAAAATAAAGAATCCTGCAGAGCTGGGAATTCACAACGTTCATTTTAACTACCCAAAATTTTACTTTTGGGGATATTTTGGTTAAATTGTTTTGGTCTGTGCATTCGAATTACTATCTGAACTTCCTTCCACAACCACTAGGAGAAACAAACTTAAGGTTTGGTAAGATTATTTAAAAATGAACAACTAGAAATGAAGTGTTGATAAAGAAACGTGCCATACCGGGGGCTGGGGGGAAAGCAGCAGGTGGTGCAAAGATAAGCTCCAAGTTATCAAATTTTGACACTGCCATTTCATCCAACTTACTCAACCACTTTTTCACAAGCCAACAGCATTTATTTTGAAGCTTTATCATTATTACTAGCTTTGCTGCCTGCTATTACATTTTTTCACAGGTTCATGCTTGGAATAGAGGTGAATGGGAGACATAGATCCAAAATCATATCACCATAAAACATATTAAATATGTTTTTTTCGGATCTCCTTGTTCACGTGCTTTAAAAAGCATCCGTTGTTCAAGTTTTTCATCTAAGCACTAAGGATTTAAGAATGCACAGGAAAATACTCAAGATGAAAGGCAAACTGGCCTCTTGAGCAAATCATCTTTTAATGGAAACTTTCCACAG